ATGACCCAAAAGTCGGGAAAATCGGGCCTGTTAGAAAGTCGTAAAGCGTGGCTGCTATGGGGTTTTCGGGGTGCTGATCACGAATATCATGTTAGTTTTGATCACAGATGATGTCTTCATGCATTTAGGCCAGGTCGGGTCAGGTCAGGTCAGGTCAACCAGTAAGGAAGGGTATTCGTAGTAGGTGACAACCGCCTCTGACAGCTTCGCAACATGTTACGAGGGCACCAAAACTACTTCGTAAATGTTCATATGGCTGCTAAATTCGAATTCAGCTCCTAAAACTGGCCTAGAAACATGTAAAACTCGAAAAAGTGAACCGAGGTCATCAAAGGTCAATGACCTGATCTGACTTTCCGGTGACCTTGACACCCACCCTAATGCATGGAAGCAACATCATATCCCATGTTTGAACGCTTAAAACCACGAAAAGACTGCAAACGCGCCGCTAATGCGAGCCGACATACGCCGAATCGCGATTCCGGCCAAACATGGTCTCGAAAAGTAGGTCGCAGGTCAAAGGTCATTAAGGTCAGGGTCATGACAATTTCAGGGTGGGTGTAAAATTGATTAACACGAGGGTAACGAAAGTTTCGTCGCGATCGGCCGCTTTTTACGCGAGTTATTCGCGAAAAACCGAGGGAGGGGGTCCGTTCGACCCCCCCTCTATACGGGCGAGGGTTAAGTTGATCTCACCCGAAGAAAAAGTATACCATTCGACACGCCTGAGCTAGACAAACACGATGCTCCTAAAATCGCGGATCTGCGATCATTTTTAGCGAAGTTATTTACCGAAAACCGAACCTGTGCCTTGGGCCACTTGACCTGACCTCCGAAGTCATCGGCTGACCCTGGTCCTTAAATCGGAGACCAATCGCTGCATTTCGTAACGACGCACACGATCGTTTCTTTCGTGAGGCTCTAGCTCAATTAGGGGCGAATCGGCGAAGGGGGTTGTTTCCTCACTTCCAACCCCCAACGTCCCCTCGGTATTCAGAAAACCTGAAGGTCCGGTGAGGGTTAAAACGTTTCTCCTGAACGAGGAAGAAATGTTAAAGTCAAAGCTCTATAGAGGTCTTGTAAAAGTGGCCATAATAATAAATTCGTTAGAAATAAGATGCTTTTTAAACGACTTCCTCATATAAAATCGGGTGCTGGGACCAATCTTATAAACGCTTTAGAATGGACAGGGCGTCACTGGCTAAAGTTTGGGTGCAGAAAACGGCTATTACCTAAATGCAAAATGGTTTTCATGCATTTCAGTCAATTGTATATTGTCGGTCCCAGTGGCCGAGCTAAAAAAAAAAAAAAAAATCGGTAGTGTTTTGCATCTTTTACGCCCTAAGAAATTACACCATCTATCGAAGTGGGCGGGCTTATTTGAATGGGAGGGCGCATTATGCACGAATCGAGTGCTTTCGTTTATTTTGGACTGTATTTTACCACATGCCGAGATATCCCTTTAGTATTAGCACGTGATTTTGGGAAAAGCTTTCGGACCGGCTGTGGCTAATGTTTAAGGTATTTGGGAAACGATTTCGGACCGTGGTCATTTTTGATTTTCCCAGACAAAGTTTTACTGAATATTCTGAGCGGAAGAACCAAATCCAAAGAAGATATTTACGGATTGTGTGTTCACTAACAGCAACAGCAGAAGTGAGCAAAATTAAGTGAAGGCGTTTTCACTTACTTTTGCTGTCAACGTAATTCAACTAAACAAGGGTAGGTATCGTTTCAATGCCAATGTATTTATTGCTGCATAACATGGTCAGAGTACCTACCTACTCATTATTACAACAAAATGCACGCAAAAAACGAACACTTTAAATGCGCGAAGCATCTTAACGAGCCACATTGAAACATTTGGATATTGTTCCAGCTGGGATCTAAGACGCGTTTGATTCAGCGTTTCACCCAATTTTCAGTTTTTCTCACAGTTTCCTCACTCCTGTTGGGCTCCATATCTTTATAGTTTATTCTAACCTCTGGCGCTTCACCATCTTCATCCTCAGCCTTTTCAAACCTTAAATAAGGTAAAAGTAGGGAATTTCATCTTTCATACTCAACGGCCAGCGCCGCCCAATAATGAAAAACACAAAAAATAATCGCGGTGACTATAAATATGAACATAGTATTAATAGAATATTAACACCATATTAAGAATATAATATATAATACCAAATGAATATGATATTAACTGTTGCGCCGGTCCGGCATGTGGTAAATCTCTTCCCAACCTTGGGCTGTGAAAATGCAGTTTTATTCACCTCGGTTTTTGGCTACGGACCTCGTGCCTACCGGCACTCGGTCCTCCGCACAAAAACCTCGGTGAATAAAACGCATTTTCCCAGCCCCGGTCGGGAATATATATTACCACATCCACTGCTGGTATCACTATTAATATTATCTAATGCCGTGAATACGACAGCATTCCATTTATAAGATTGGGCCAATGGAGTCGCGCCCCGCGAGCTCGGTTTTCCGCTGGGCCGCTACAGGCCAGGAAGTCGGGCTTCGCCTGAGGGCAGGACAAAGGTCAGCGAGGGAGCGCAGGGTCAGCCAGGTATCGCCAAGTGCCGAGCGGATGCCGCTCCCTCCCCTCTCTTCCCCTCTTCTCCCCTCCCCACCTCGGTATAGATGGGGAGGGACCGAACTGCCAATGACATGAGAGCGGTCAATGCCGCTCGCGCGGCAGCGACCCTGGCGGCCGGGTGCCGCAACTGGGATTCAGCCAAGTTACCGATTCGCCTCCTGTGGGAGAGCCAAACCAGGGGACATACTTTTTAGATATACTGTACAGGGCCCTCAAAGGCCAGTTTGGGGCCCTCAGAGGTCGATGCGGGCTCTTAGTGACCGGCACCCAAAGGTCAGTCCTGAAACCCAGAGACAGAAATGAGGCCATCAAGAGATCAGTGTGGGGCCCTCAAAGGACGGTTGGGGGACTCCTGATGCCGCTTTAGGGCCTGGAGGACCCTGAGAGGTCGATGTGGGCCCTCATCGGTCGATGTGGGTCCTCATCGGCCAGGGTTGGCCCTTGAAGGCCACTGAAGCGCCCTCAGAAGTCAGGATACTCAAAGACCGGCATGGGGGCTGTTACATAATACCTGGTGTTGGTTTCTTGAGCCTCGTGACAATCGGGTAAGAGCCAGGGCCCCTACGCCCTTCGGGGCCCATCGGTTGTTTAAGGGAGCAAATTATAGGATGGCCCCTGATTTGTCTTTGGGGGGCCATGGCCCTGATGCCCCCCTGCGACCTCCACTGGGCACCACCCCCACCGCCCACTGAGCGGTGAGCGGCGCATTTTTGCAAGTCCGACAGCTCTATACAGTATACGGCCTTGTGACAGCTCAAGCTCTTGAGAGGAGGGTAGTACCTACATTAGAGGGGGCGGCGATGGCATTTGCACTTGAGGCGGCAGCGCCTACACTTAGAGGGGGCGGCACCTACATTTCATGGGCAGCACCCTAACTTGAGGGGCGGCACCCACGCATGGGGGTGGGGGTGGGGGCGGCATCTATCTACATGTGAGGGAAAGGCACCTTCATTTCAAGGGGTGGCACCTACACTTAGGGGGTGGCACCTACATTTGAGGGGGCTGCACTGCAACTAGGCCTTAGGGGGCGGCAACCTAGGGGTGCCATCTACATTCGAAGGGACGGCACCTACATTTTATGGGATGACCGATGACACCTATGCATAAGTGGCCGGGGCCAACATTTGAGGGGGCGGCGCGGCACCTTCATTCGAGGGGGCGGCACCTGCATTCGAGGAGGGCCGGCACCTACATTCGAGGGGGCAGCACTAACATTTGAGGGGGCGGCACCTGCATTCAAGGAGGGCCGGCACCTACATTCGAGGGGGCGGCACTAACATTTGAGGGGGCGGCACCTACATTCGAAGAGGGCCGGCATCTACATTCGAGGGGGCGGCACTAACATTTGGGGGGGCGGCACCTACATTCGAGGAGGGCCGGCATCTACATTCGAGGGGGCGGCACTAACATTTGAGGGGGCGGCACCTACATTCGAAGGGCGGCATTTAGGTACATTTGAGGGGGCGGCACCAACATTCGAGGAGGGCCGGCATCTACATTCGAGGGGGCGGCACTAACATTCAAGGGGGCGGCACTAACATTTGAGGGGGCGGCACCTGCATTCGAGGAGGGCCGGCACCTACATTCGAGGGGGCGGCACTAACATTTGAGAGGGCGGCACCTACATTCGAGGAGACAGCGCCTACATTCGAGGGGCGACATTTACATTTGAGGGGGCGGCACCTACATTTGAGGGGGCGACACCAGCATTCGAGGGGGCGGCACCTACATTCGAGGGGGCGGCACTTACATTCGAGGAGGGCCGGCATCTACATCCGAGGGAGGGGTGGCACTAACATTTGAGGGGGCGGCCCGCGGCACTTACATTTGAGGGGGCGGCACCTACATTCGAGGGGTGGCATTTAGGTACATTTGCGGGGCTGCACCAACATTCGAGGGGATGGCGCCTACATTTAATGGGCGGCGCCTACATTCAAGGGGGCGGCACCTACATTCGAGGGGGCGGCACTTACATTTGAGGGGGCGGCACTACATTCGAGGGGGCGGCACTTACATTCGAGGGGCGGTACTTACATTCGAGGGGGCGGCACCTACATTCGAGGGGGCGGCACCTACATTTGAGGTCTGAGGAGGCGGCAACTACACTAGATAGTTGAGGGGTGACTATTGCCTACAATTACATGATGGGTAGGGCTTTTTTGAAAGATGGTGCCAAGTCAACGGGTGGCATAGAGTTTTGGGATGGCTCAGGGTTATGGGGGCGGCACCATTCGAGTCGCCCGCCGATTTATTTCAGTTGTAAAGTTGGGGTTGCACAAACCGATGTTGGGGTTGCACAATTCAAAGTTGGGGTTGCACGTGCAACCCCAACTTAATATAAAAATCCACCCCTGCTCAGCTGGTCGACATTGTGTGAGGGAATTTCCGTTTTCCCAGCGACACTCACCTGAGTCTCGGTCAGACTGAGCTGCTTGGAGAGCTGCGTCCGCTTACTGACGCTCAGGTATTTGTTTTTCTCAAACTCGGTCTCCAGGGATTTGATCTGGGACGCCGTGAACGCCGTCCGGGGCCGCTTCTTCCGCTCGTCCGCTGAACAGCCGTCATCTGCAGACAGGGTTATTCCAGGGCCAATCAGCACAACGGATTCACACGCTTATCAGGACGTATCCATCGCCTTCCTTGATCGCCCGCGCCGTCCCTCGTGTTCCAGGGCCACCGCCGTAAAGGCTACAATTCCAGGATCTCTGCAGAATTTTAAATCCCTATTCCGATTCCGCCATGCCTGGGATCCCCATATAGTACAACCTCGGGACCTTTTAGCCCCCAATCGAGTCACAGCTGAAAAAATGAGCGTGTGCGCCAGTAGGTACGAGACGCAGCGACTGGTTTGTACCCAATTTCAATGTCTCGGGTCTGCCACATATCTCTGAGGTCAGGTCAAAGACTCAAAGGTAGAGGTGCTGGTTTTGGGGATAACTTGTCAAGATCAACTTATAAGGCAATGGGGAAAAGTGCAAATGTCTTCTGTTTTTAACAAAGACGTCAGAGCCACAAGATATTTACCCAAACGTGGCCAATCTATCCATATGCAATGGATAGGGACCAGGGTGCACTTGCTGATGGCCGGTGCTCACTTGAAAGGTCATATTAGATCATGAAAGGTCACCAGCAGTTTTTTGACGAGATCTGTGCATGGAATCAATGTAGATCGATGAAACCACGTGAAACATGTTTAGGTCATCAATACGGATCGATTGATACGCAATATGACCTTTTCCGGTCAGGTCATCAGCCTGACCTGAGGTCAAAATTTGAAGTTGACCTTTTCAGGTCAAATTATTGTTCATTCGATGCTTCTCGAAGAAAGAAACATTAGGTATGGTAGCAAAATAAAAGTCATTTAATTGTTTATGTCAAATAGAGTTGCAAAATTTCCCTACCGCACTACCGGCATGCCGGTAATTTTTCACTACCGCAGGTTTTTTCGTGGTATCTGGCATGTTTTGCCGGTAGCATGCCGGTATCTTTTTATTTTGCACAAAAAAATATCAGCATATGATTCAAACTTTGAACAGTAAGAGGTGCTGGGTGGGGCGGTTACTGAAATTGCCAAAACCAAGGCATCTCATGTAGGGGAAAGCCAGAATCAAGAATGCAGGTTTTTTTAGTATGCCGGTAATTTGGCGGTTTTTTTTGCTTGGGGCGTGGTAGCATGCCGGTATCCCAGAAAATTTTTTGTGGGGCGGGGCGGTGCCGGTAGCAGCCCATTGGGAAAACTTTGCAACTCTAATGTCAAAGTCATTGCAAAAATTGTTGGAAAAATTGTTTCAGCAGCATCCTCTACATATTTTGGTGTTTATTTTGTATTGTATTGTATTGTATTGTATTGTATTGTATTAACATCTTGCAATCATCCATGAATGATGAACGCATGGCTATTATGATTCGTGTGTTAAAAACGATCGATGGGAACTGGGAACAGACATTCCTGCACACAACTACATACAATCCGATGCCTATTCACCGCCGTTTTGTCATCTGTGGGCTATAAACTGTTGACCTGAGGTCACATCTGAGGACATGCTAGCGAAAGAGCTTTGAAAGAGCTATCTACTGTGCTTCTGTGACCCTCTATCTCCTGTGGTTCATCAGTTAGGCATACCTACGCCGATTTGTGAAAATGGTCAAAATGACAAAAATTAGGTATGTGATAATTTATCTTTTAGGTAGTGTCCTGCATTGACCACGGCGTTAGCCTGACCAAAAACGACCTTTACAATTCCTGTACATCTAATGCCGAAATATTTCTTGCTGGGCATCACCTCAATGATTGTAACATTGTTTTGTAACTGCTTTTCCCCGATTGTCCCATATTAGGCATGAGGAATCTCATCACACACTCAGAGAAATATTTACCCTAAAAATATGGGTATTTCACGAGTACCAAATCGGTACTATATTTACGGGTCCTTTAACGCCGAGAAAACGTTTATATCTACTCAGTCCGTGTTGGACTACCTAAACTGATTGTATCACATGACCTGCTTTATTGTATACATACCAGCTATTCTTAGCTATCTTTACCTAAAAAATCCGGGTTTTTCACGAGTACCAAATCGGTACTAGTTTTACGGGTTATCCTACCTCCAGAAAACGAGTATCAATACCCTTCATTGTTTCGCATGAACTATTATTACGTACAGATACCAGTGATTCTAGGGTATTACTAGCCACAAAATCCGGGTATTTTTGGAGTACCAAATCGGTACTACATTTACGGGTTATCCTACGCCGAGAAAACAGGTAGCTCAACCTTTTTGCGTCAAAATACCGAATTTATTTGTGTCACATGACCTTCTCACACGCATACGTACCGAATTTGTTTGTGTCACATAACCTGCTCACACGTATACGTACCAGTGATTCTTTGGTATTGTTACCTTTAAAGCCTTAAACTTATCCGAAAGTTATAAGGTACTTTAACACCATGCTTTATTTGTGCTACACTTGTCGCAGTTTGCTATAAATAGAACAAAACAATGATATGTAAAACGGAGTTCGCTTTTTTATTGGGTTCCAACGAGATGGACAGAACCGGATGAAGATCATCGATTTAATTAGGAAACATGTCATGACAAACAAATAATCAGATTTTTCGCACGATGTGGACGCAGTCCCTTCCCACCTACGGCTGTCGTCAGCTGGCGGTCAACCGACCGGTGAGCATTGCCCCGTCCCGTAATGCAAGGTCTATACTCCCATTCGTACCTGTAACACCGCGTACGACACTCCACTTTTATGGCGCAATGCGCGATATCCGACGGCCCTGGCAGTTAGCTTGTTCGGTCGTCGATCTCCATATTTGTCGGCCGGTTCAGGTTGTCCTGACGCTGGCCGACACTCAGCGTTGCAGTCAGCCAGGATCTGGCCTGGCCTCTGGATCCCAGTGCTGTTCCTTGACCACGTTTCTTGACATCCCAGCCCGGTGCTGTTTCTTGTTGATTTGAAGGCTTGGTGCCCTTGCACAACACGATCCACCACCACACTCGCCCGGGAAAGAAAGTCACGTAGCTCACTTCCACAATAAACCGCGTGAAACGCGAACAGCTCTCGCCGTGCGGCTCCCAGCCTCTACACACACCCACCACGCCGGCAACGGCGGTTCAAACTGGCTCATACTGAAAGCGTGCGCGCCAAACACAAAACGCGGAACGATGATTGGTGGAGAGGAACACCCTTCTGCGCATGCGCGACCTAGGCCACGCCCCCTGTTAAAATTACTCACAAAAGGTAGATCTACCTTTAAAAAATAAGGAGTCAGAAAACCACATTTAAGTACTTATACACCCTTACGAGTTGATGCATGTTTTACAGGTACCTGTTTTTCAATAACAAGTAGTAGAAAAAACATGCTGGTAGAGTAGCCCTACACCACCGATTCTGGTTTGTTAGGTAGATGTACCCGCTCTTCTGGGTAATGGTACCCGAATCTGCATGGTACTGTAAACCCATATCAGGTACATTTGCTACAATGTGTGTAAAAAGAACCATAGGTGTACAGGGACCCAAAATAAGTGGTGTATAATTATTTCTGTCCGAGTTTTAATATCCGGAGAAATCGGGATACCGGTACCCATAAGTGTAAAATTACCCGTAGAGGGGTAAATTTTTCTCTGTGTGCAATCACATTTGACAGGCACGGTGGGAGGCCCCGGCCCCGTCCCCAAATTGGAGGAAAATTGAAAGGGCTCAGAAAAGTAAGAGCCCAATGCGTAGGCTTACCTATCGCAGTGATGTACCTGGGGCATTCCACGATAGATCGTACCAGGCCCGTCACCCTCATCTCTCAGATTTTAATGAAAATCGGTCCTAGGGGTAATCATAGGCCCCAAAGACGCCTGGCAAAATATCAGACTTCTCAGATCAAAACTTTTCGAGTTATATTGCATTACCTTTTTTAACTTCGGTATGTAACGGTGAGTTTGATGGCTTATAACTCAAGAACGGGTTAAGCAACCAACAAAAAGTAAACAACACTAAGCTTGCGATGAATCAAAAATTAATATTATTATTTAAAAATTCCAAAGAAAAAAATTCATTGTTGAGCAAAAACCTTAATCTTTTTTCATTTGCCTCTAATGACTTTTGGGACCAAAATTTTTCACATTTTTATTTTTTCAAAATAATCTTCATGTCATTGCAAATCGACATGCAAAAAATTAGAAAGGTGTTCTTTCTATAAGTTCCTTATTTTCCCTCAAACAAAATGGGTTTCGGAGGGGTTGATACGACCCCAGCACGCCGTTTCGCTTCTAATAGAGCTAGAGCCTCGCGGAAAAAACGAGCGTGTGTGCCGTTACAAGTCGCAGCGATTGGTACCCGATTTTAAGGTCTCAGGTTAACCGGTAGCGTCTGAGGTCAGGTCACGTGACTGAAGTTACGGGTTCGGTTTTTAGTAAATAACTTCGCAAAAAATGGCCGCAGAGCCGCGATTTTGGCATCATTGTGTTCGCCTAGCTCAGGTGCATCGAATGGTATACTTTTTGCTAGGGTGAGGTCAACTTAAGTAGTTGACCTCGGGTCAAGGTCAGGTCAGAGCCCCTCAGGCAGTGGCGTAGCCAGAAATCAGCGAAAGGGGGGGCCATGGTGATCGAGGGGCGACTTTTCCCTTGAGAGGGGCGCCATTGTGAGCTAGTGACAGGGGGTCAGTCTAAAATGTAACGTCATATATTCACGCATGATTTACTAGGTGTTGCAAAATGCGAGTATAAGAACCAGGTTTCGCTGATTTTTCATAAAATCCAATTATTGCAATGTGCAGCCCGGTGTTTTTTTCAAAAGCCTTGATCTTTATGCATATTTAGCACGATATAGGAAACGAGCTCAGGCTACGGACATGCTATCTCAAAACACACACCAATGCGAATTCGAAACGGTAAAATATACGTTGATCGATAGGCACAATCTTTACTCTTTGAAAAAAAAACATACAAGTTCACTCACTGATCCAAAGTGACCTGTGGACTGCAGCCTCTGGTCGACCGGGGTGGCCGTGCTTAGAATCTCAGACACTCATGACTGCATGAGTGCCAGATGGGTGAGGC